GACTCCCATTAGAGGGCACTGACATCACTAGGCTAGTCTGTTGAACTCTGTCATTGCACCGAGATATCAGAGGCTTTAGTATGAATCTGTGTATTTTACTCAAGCTAGTCCACTAAGTTATGAATCAATGGGTTATACTAAAGCCTCTGATACCTCGGTGCAAAGACAGAGTTCAACAGACCAGGCTATTGACTAGAGTCTTTTCTACATTTTATATATATTATTTGAACGAAGCCGCAAATTTCTTTTAAACTGGTTATAAAATATATCGGTAGTATTGCGTATAATACAGATTTGACTTGCTACCAGAAGACACCAGAAAATATTATATAGGTATGATGAACAGTTGAATATTTAGGCGTGTTGCTTGACTAATCTAACAACGCTGTTTAGTGGACTAATAGTAACAATTTTCCATAAAGAACACTTAAAACAGTAAATTAGTGGTTTAAAGGTTTCGTTCTATAATTATATAATGCTTTAATACTACTTTATAAACAAAGACAACCTCCTCTGATAACATTGTGGTTATCTATTTGTGGTGTTTGTTTTCAGGTATAAAACAACATTCATTCCAAAATGGAATAACAGCAGCTTTTACAGTAGGAAAATTCTGAGTTTAATTTTTACAATGTTTCGAATGGCAATATTGAGTCATCATCAAGCAAGAGTTACAATCAGTCGAAACGTTGTAATTATTAAAATCTGAATTTGTCTATTGTGAAGCTTATTTATATTCTATTTTTGAATTAATTATTCATTTCAGTAGATTCATCACTAAACATAAAACAATATTGCCTCTAGAAAACTCGAGATATTTCGACAAGTCGGTTGAAATATGAGCCTACTTAAAACAATGAGTACACACTGTACACGACAAACTGTCTCTGAACATTCACAATATTTTTACCACAAACATACGATACTTGCATTACAAGTTGTAAAAATATTTTAAATGTTTCTCAAGTTTGTAATTTTTAGTACATATCCAGTATCAAATTTTTATTTTTACTTATAAATATAGTATACTTAGACATTGTGAAACATAAATCATTGAAATATAATTATAACGTATAATTTCCAAAGCGACCTCTATTTTAGGGAAACGGATATCTGTGCTTATAAGACCAAAGCTATGTGTATAAACTACTTTGATTTACATAATATTGATCGTAAAAGAATAACAACTGACTGTCATGTAATATAGTAGCAGGAAATGTAGATTAAAAACAGACCTGTGAGTAGTTATCCCCGCACCCATGTTTCCAAAGGAGGTCGCCAGGCAATAGGAAGTGGGGAGGGAAGGGGTAAAGAAGATTATGTCATAGCTTCATGAAGTGCCACCAGAAGGCGCGTTGTTAAGGCTGATGGAAGACAGTAAGAGCGTTGCTTGGCGTGATATCATAGTTTCACGAAGTGGAATCAGAGGGCACCATTACAGGCAGATGTTTTCTTGGCAATGGAAGTTGTCCAGAAAGTGTGTTGCTAAGCCGCCATGATGATTTCATTATAGAGATTCTCAACACGTCATCAATGTCTAGATGTAATTATGTTACAAGAAAAATCATTATTTTAACGATAATCTTACTGTTTCACCAGCTTGGCTTTATACTGTCCGCATGACTATGATTTTCATTGTTTTTATCAAAATATTTCATTTTAAACATTTCACTTTATAGTTTTAACTTACATAAGTTTTATAAAGGCAGGTAGTGTTTCTGTAGGTGTTTTTTGCAGTCCTTGTCGCATTCTCATAAAAAGTTCTAAATTCAACCACTGCTTTTGTGGTATGCAGACATGCCATGCATTTTCTACCTTCTTATTTTAATGCAGAATTTGTCATAATTTTTGTTTATTCTGGTACATGTAACTATTGCACAACACATGAGTAAGAAAATCATTAAGTTGATTTCTTTCTAGCTATCTTTGTTCTTTTGTTATTCACTTGAAGCTAACACCTGGTCTGCCCATGGAGACATAGCTGTAAAGCTACACTGTACACCTTGTGCAATTGACAACAGTGTTCTACAATGGTAGGTTAGATGATATATCAAGGTTACAAACTCCTTTATGCTTGAATGATATGACCAGTCACGTGGATAGTGCTAGCTGCTTTTTATAAGCCTGACATTACTGATTCATCAAAATAGCATGAGATTTAGTCTGCCTGGAACATCATCTTAAGTGGGTTGATCAGTTTGGAAATAAGTCTTAAGAGAGCACAGCCAACCTGAGCAATTCACAGTGCATGCAAAGGCAACTGTCTATCTTCCATAAAGTTAAAAAACATGTTGCTGATTGGTGTTTTATTAAATAAAAATTGTTTTCATTGTATATCACATTTCATGTCCAGCGCATTTATTTTTACGTAAAGACTCAGTTAGTTTTAATAGAATCCAGTATTATTTTGCAATATATCTTACCAAACCTCCCGTTAAGTAGTGGATCTTACTCATCTAGTCTTTGGGAAATTGGTTTACCTGAAAGTACCACATTTACTTCCCTAAGTAGTACTAGTAACTTAGTAAGCTCTACGTAATTTCATAAAGTGCCCTTTCATGACCATGATTATAGGTACCAGAGAGTCATACCAATTTGTGCATGTGTAGTATGCAGGGGTACCATGTATCTTATACCTTCTTATTTTGATGTAGGAACTTTCATAATTTTTCATTTAGTCAGATTCAATGCAGATTTCTCATAATCACGTGGTTTAAAAACTGTTATGTTATTTCCATTATAATTACTTTTGTGGCTTTCCTGTTCATAATACCTGTTCCACTCGCGGATATATTGTTGCAAGTTCACAGACATTGTGTAAGATCTGAGGGTCGCGGGTTCGAATCCGCATCCCACCAAACATGCTCGCCTTTTCAGCCGTGGGGGCGTTATAATGTGACGGTCAATCCCACTATTCGTTGGTAAAAGAGTAGCCCAAGAGTTGGCGGTGGGCGGTGATG